AAGAAACTTCAGTGTTTTACAAGAATAATCAGTCTTCTTGGTGGTAGGCATACCTGAATGTTCTTGATAAATGAGCTGTAATGGAATAAAAGAGACTTGTACAATTACAGGCCATTGCCCAGGGAAAATGTGTCCTCCTTAGTTTCCTCTCAGTATCACCTAGGAAGTTTTACTTCCTAGGATGATTTTGTCATTTCATGATTACTGTTTTATGAATCATATTGAATTGAGCCATCATTTCCTGAGGTTCTGATTTCAGGTTTTTTGAAAAAGAAAAATTACAATTTGGATGTGAGAAAGGACATGAGGAGACTAAAGACCTGGGATTTTGCTGATCAGAATGAAACCAATGTTGAAGGACTTTTCAAATCTATTGTTGGTGGTGCTCTGTGACTATGGTGAGTATTGTAAGTATACTAAATGCTGTAGGTATCAATAAAGAAACTAAAATGTGAGGCTTACACATGCTTTGATGTTGATGACCCTTCATGAAGGAGGCAGGGTAGGATCTACAGTGCAGTGCCTTTTAAACTGTGATCCTTGCAACCCTGGCTTCTCTTACGTTGCTTCAGGGGTTCTGCATGATTGATTGACGTTTTACTTTGAATATATTTTTAACTCTTTAAAAAATAATAAAAACAACTCACTCCAGTTTTAACGAATTGGAGACAAGCATGTTATCCTGAGTTCTCTTTGATTGATTTCTCAGTAATTCAGTATTATAAGCATTTCACACACACAGATATTGGGGTTCTATGTAAGGTTTCACTTGACAAGAGAGTATTGCTACTAGCATATTTTTGGAACCAATCTGAATTTCAATTTTTGCCAGTTGTGTGCTCTTAGACAAGTTTCTTAATCTTTTTCAACCTGTTAGCAATAATATTGACTTCACAGTGTTGTTATGACAAATAAATTCAAGGATGTGAAACACTTTGAATGTCTGAGCAGATAGTAGTTGCTTAAAGTTAGTTTTCTTTATTCAGTTTGTTTCAACTAAAAATCTGAGTTCATTTCTCAGAGAGTTTTATGCAGCTATTAAATCAGTAGAGTTAACAATATGACATAATCCTCACTACTTTTATTTTGATGGTTTCCAAATATTTCATAGACATCTAAGCAGTTGATGGTATGGGAGTGGAAATTGTTTTCATATTTGGTGAAGAAACTGCTCCAAGAAGTAGAGAATATTGGCTTTTGCAATACCAGAGGCATAGCCAGTTAAATGGACCTGAGCATATGCTGTTCATTTCATCCAGTAGAGCTCCTTTCTCAGTCTTTTCTTTTTTGTTTTTTCTAAGAAGTTTACATAAACAAGAAGACACTTAATTTAAGAAAAAAAAACCAATGGGGGACTCATTTCTTTTAAAGTAATTTGTCCATACTTAAAAACAGATTGCTCTACATCAGCCGCCTTCCTCAAACTTGCGTCATCTTCAAACAAAAGGGAATATCCCTCAACTTTGTTTTGCCTAAATGGGGGGGAAAAAAAGAACTTTATCATATTATGGTTTTCAAGCAAGTGGGTGATCAAGCATTCAGGTCTATCCAAGTTTTATATATTTTATTTCACCTCATTTCAAGTAAGAAATAGGTGGCATGCTAAGCTAATTAAAAAAAACAACAACAAACACCTTTATGTGCCAATATATTTATGTGCTGGTTCTGATAATCACTGACTGAATACATATAAGGGTATTTTAAAGACTACCAGCCCAAACAAAACACATGAGCCTCTCAGAACATATATAATATGATATGTAAATATCATTATATATGTATGAGGTTTATATGATAAGAATAATAAATTCATACTTACACAAGTTGTTTTTCAAACCAAAAAGGGCACTGCAGTCCCTTAAATCTAGAATTGCTTCTTACCCCAGCCATGGACCAGCTGATTGTTGGATTGCCAAATTCTGCCTCTTTTGATATGTGTTTGGATAGGGTTCAAAATGGAAACAAGGACTCTTGTGTGTCTGTATTCTGTGCACTCTTCCTTCAGCTGCTCTGCTGGGTCTCTTTTTAAAAGATATGATTGATCCTAACTGAAGGATACTTGGGAGGCCAGGAGTCATCTGCCCTATCTAGGCCACTACCAATTGCTAGAATGCCATTAAAATTGCCAAGGACAAGCCTCGTTATTTCATAAACGTTCATTCTATACCTTGGGTGACCCATGCAGAATAAAGTGTCAACAGTTCTTATCCATCTAAAAATTTCTGCCTCACACAAACTGAGCACACTGGATTCTTTACTGGTAAGAATTCCTAAGCACTTATCTCAAATATCAGAAATAATCACTTTGAAGTAAATTTAAGGTCTTACGTTCTAAATCTAGAGCAGTCTGTATTGTGTCATTTAAATCGAGCTTTCTCTCACTTGACTTTATGTCCATTTCCTCTAAATACCTAAACACCAGCAGCATGTGATTAGAATGAGAAATGTGAAGTATTGGATTTTTATTCTGAGAATCAATTATTATTCTAGTTTTATAGATTCTCATTGCAGATATATCACATTNATTCAGGTCTATCCAAGTTTTATATATTTTATTTCACCTCATTTCAAGTAAGAAATAGGTGACATGCTAAGCTAATTTAAAAAGAAAACAACAAACACCTTTATGTGCCAATATATTTATGTGCTGGTTCTGATAATCATTGACTGAATACATATAAGGGTATTTTAAAGACTACCAGCCCAAACAAAAACACATGAGCCTCTCAGAACATATATAATATGATATGTAAATATCATATTATATATGTATGAGGTTTATATGATAAGAATAATAAATTCATACTTACACAAGTTGTTTTTCAAACCAAAAAGGGCACTGCAGTCCCTTAAATCTAGAATTGCTTCTTACCCCAGCCATGGACCAGCTGATTGTTGGATTGCCAAATTCTGCCTCTTTTGATATGTGTTTGGATAGGGTTCAAAATGGAAACAAGGACTCTTGTGTGTCTGTATTCTGTGCACTCTTCCTTCAGCTGCTCTGCTGGGTCTCTTTTTAAAAGATATGATTGATCCTAACTGAAGGATACTTGGGAGGCCAGGAGTCATCTGCCCTATCTAGGCCACTACCAATTGCTAGAATGCCATTAAAATTGCCAAGGACAAGCCTCGTTATTTCATAAACGTTCATTCTATACCTTGGGTGACCCATGCAGAATAAAGTGTCAACAGTTCTTATCCATCTAAAAATTTCTGCCTCACACAAACTGAGCACACTGGATTCTTTACTGGTAAGAATTCCTAAGCACTTATCTCAAATATCAGAAATAATCACTTTGAAGTAAATTTAAGGTCTTACATTCTAAATCTAGAGCAGTCTGTATTGTGTCATTTAAATCGAGCTTTCTCTCACTTGACTTTATGTCCATTTCCTCTAAATACCTAAACACCAGCAGCATGTGATTAGAATGAGAAATGTGAAGTATTGGATTTTTATTCTGAGAATCAATTATTATTCTAGTTTTATAGATTCTCATTGCAGATATATCACATTATTCAATATTGTGAATTCAGAGTATTTATCACTAATATTTTAAACATAACCACGAAAGACGAAGATGAAGGCGCAATGCCACGTTGAAATGCAAAGCGCATGGTGCCCAGCTCGCGGGATCTGTGCAGAGCATCATTTTACGTCATTCTTGGTTCAGTTCCAACTTCTCTTCTGTTTAAAATGCTGTTTTCATCAGTGTCCACAATAGTGCTGCTCAAATGCACCTTTTAAAAACCCATTCTGACCATTTCATTTCAGTTCTTGGAGACACTGAACATCTGCTTTTGGGACTGGAGCACACTGGATTCTTTACTGGTAAGAATTCCTAAGCACTTATCTCAAATATCAGAAATAATCACTTTGAAGTAAATTTAAGGTCTTACATTCTAAATCTAGAGCAGTCTGTATTGTGTCATTTAAATCGAGCTTTCTCTCACTTGACTTTATGTCCATTTCCTCTAAATACCTAAACACCAGCAGCATGTGATTAGAATGAGAAATGTGAAGTATTGGATTTTTATTCTGAGAATCAATTATTATTCTAGTTTTATAGATTCTCATTGCAGATATATCACATTGTTCAATATTGTGAATTCAGAGTATTTATCACTAATATTTTAAACATAACCACGAAAGACGAAGATGAAGGCGCAGAGCCACGTTGGAATGCAAAGCGCGTGGTGCCCAGCTCGCGGGATCTGTGCAGAGCATCATTTTACGTCATTCTTGGTTCAGTTCCAACTTCTCTGCTGTTTAAAATGCTGTTTTCATCAGTGTCCACAATAGTGCTGCTCAAATGCACCTTTTAAAAACCCATTCTGACCATTTCATTTCAGTTCTTGGAGACACTGAACATCTGCTTTTGGGAGAGCCGGGCCATGTAGCACTAAGCAACAAAACAGTGTCTGTGTAAAACCCATTCTGACCATTTCATTTCAGTTCTTGGAGACTCTGAACATCTGCTTTTGGGAGAGCCGGGCCATGTAGCACTAAGCAACAAAACAGTGTCTGTGGATTTCCAGTATTTTGATGGCGCTAACGGGACTCTGAGGAATGTATCTGTCCTGCTGCTGGAGGCCAACACCAATCAGACTGTGACCACCAAGTATCTCCTGACCAACCAGTCCCGCGGAACACTCGAATTTGAATGCTTCTATTTCAAGGAGGCTGGTGACTACTGGTTCACAATGACCCTGGAAGTGACAGACAACAGCACTCCAGTTGCCTGGTGGGAGAAAAGTGCCTTTCTAAAGGTGGAATGGCCTGTCTTTCACATCGACTTGAATAGGACATCCAAAGCAGCCGAAGGCACCTTCCAGGTGGGCCTTTTTACCAATCAACCACTCTGCCCATTTCCTGTGGACAGGCCTGACATGTTGGTGGATGTTGTCTTCACCAACAGTCTTCCCCAGGCAAGAACAAGTCCAGGACAGCCACTGGAGATAAGGACCAGCAAAAGGACAGAACTCGCTCAAGGGCAGTGGGTTGAGTTTGGCTGTGCACCTGTGGGGCCGGAAGCCTATGTCACCGTAGTGCTGAAGCTGCTTGGCCGAGACTCGGTCATCACCTCCGCAGGGCCCATCGACCTGGCCCAGAAATTCGGATACAAACTAGTGATGGTGCCAGAACTCACGTGTGAGTCTGGGGTGGAGGTGGTGGTGCTACCCCCGCCGTGCATCTTTGTGCAAGGCGTGATTGCCGTCTTCAAGGACGCCCCCAGACGTCCTGGGGAGAGGACCACTCAGCTGGCCGAAAGCAGCCTGCCCCTGGGAGAGAAGAGGACAGTATTTAACTGCTCTTTGTTTGACATGGGGAAGAATAAATACTGCTTTGTCTTCGGCATTTCAAGCAGAAGCCATTTTTCCACAAAGGAGGAGGAGTGTGTGCTAATTCAGAGAAATATAGGTTGGTATAGAGATTTTTAAACCTTTTTAAAAATCCAAATTATTATTTAGAATTTAGGTGGACTTTGGGTGTATTGTACTATTATTTTTATGATTCATTCCTCATAATGTACCAATTGGCATTATCGTCCTTATCTGAAAAATTAAGAGTACTGGTAAACAGATCCACTTACTTAACCTCTTTGGGTCTCAGTTTGTCCATCAGTAAAATAGTAATAATAAAAGTACTTAGCATAGTGCCTGGCCTATCGGAAGTACTCAATAAACACTAGCTATTATTACGTTATATTTTAAAAATCATATTATCAATCATATGGTAAGTCCATGGCAGAGATGATTGGAATTCAAAGCTAAATCCCAAATTATATTTAGTAACTTCAGTTTTCCTCTAGCAGAGCATGTCTTTTTTTCTCTTTAAGTCGTCCGTTATAAGAATGAAGCCTCCTTTGTGAGAACTCAAAGCAAGATTTCTAAAAACTTCTTTAGATTCTGTATTCTTTGTGTCATACCCTGCCTGATCCCAAAGAAGTGGAGTTATGACAATTCTGTCCCTCCTTCTGCTCTTTGCATTTCTTTTCCTTTTCCTGAGTGCTGGCCTGGTCTTCTCAGCAAGGAGTTTTATTTGGCAGATATTGTCTGGCTCACTTACATGTTATTCTTTTCTTTATCTTCACTAAGCCCAGTGTCCCCTGACTTCCCAAGCCTCTGATTGTGTTTGTCTTTAACTCCAAGTGTTTCTTGCTCCAAACTTACTCACTTCTCCTTAGAAGTCTGTTTCCTTCGACTCTTTCCTCCTACACTGGCCACTTCCCTGTTTACGCTCACCTCCTTCTCCAGCCTAGATTCCATGGCCCATCACTTTTTTTTTTTTTCCTTTTTGTCTTTTTCGTGACCGGCAACAGATCGCAACCCTCAGTGTTGCACCCGTACCGGACCGGGACTGGCAACGGGATCGCAACCCTCGGTGTTACACCCGCACCTTGCTCAGCCAGTGAGCGGCCAGTCTGTATGTGGGATCCGAACCCTCGGTGGGAGCGCCGCCGTGCTCCCAAGTGGCGCACTGTAGCAGTGCGCCACCGGACCGGCCCCCATGGCCCATCACTTTAACCACTCTCCTACCAATATCCTCAACTTCTTTGTCCCTTTGTCCTGATGCACCTGCCAGGCCACACCCCAGCTCTGAGTGAATCCTGCCAGCTGCTGACTGCACCTGAGCTGCTGAGGCTGCCGGAACAACAAGATCATACCCAGGCAGACTGGTGCCATTCTGGGTGGATCATGCCTCCACCCTCAGCTGGGCTTCCATGCTACTCAGAGTGCCACCTTGGCCAGCTCCAGCTCCTTTTCTGCACAACAGCTCTTTCAGACCTCAACCCCTGCCTCTTGGTTAACTCTCAGAGTTGACTTTGCTTCCTACCACACAGAGCAGTTGGAAGCTATTAGTTGGGAACTCTGCACCATCCCACCAAAAGATCTGTAAGCCTGCAGGCATCAGACCCATCCATCCTCTCCCCCTCCTTTCCTGTCACCATGGAAGAAGTGTTATTCCTTCAGTATAAGGTCACCCTACCCTTCCAATGTAGATCTCAGCCCCTCTGCTCATTTCAGGAACCTTCTGTTAATTATTATCCCCCTTCTCGACTTGTGTCTTTAACTGTCCCTTCTGCACTGGCTCATTCTCATCAGCTTGGAAATGTACTTAATTCTCTTATTTAAAAATCAAACGAGGGCCGGCCCGGTGGCGCACTGCTGTAGTGCACCGCTTGGGAAGTGTGGCGGCGCGCTCCCGCCGAGGGTTCAGATCCCACATACAGACCGGTTCCCGCTCACTCCCCAACTTCTCCCTGCAAAATACTCTCACTAAAGCAGGCAGCAAATGAGTCTCAGGTCGCAAAATCCAGGGACACTTTTCACTCTGCCTCCTCATTGACCTTCATTCTGTGATGCCACACTGGCCTTGTTCACCATCCCCCACTCCTGGCTATTTCTTCACAGTCCCCTTTGTCTGCCAGTTCCACCACCTGGTTACATCCCTTCCCT